GAACCTGGTTCCGGGTAGAGACTGAGCTTTGGGACATTGTATTTAGTGTCTGAGCTATTGTTCCCTTCTTCTACTCTTCCCTTTCTTTATTTGCTGTCCAGGTCTCCCCAGGCCAGTCTAGTGGGGACATGTTGACCTCCCTCCCTCTTTACAATGGGCAGATGGACACTCTGCAGGAGCCCCACTGCATTTTAGTGGCTGCTTCTGGTCCTGTCCACGAGCCTCCTCTTTTTCTACCTTCCATTCATTAAAGTTGTGCATCCAAGCCTTGGCTTCTGAGTCCTCCTTTTTGTGGCAATCCTTCCAGTCTGCTCGGGATAAAAGTTGGAGTGGCAGAGGCTGGGAATCTGTAGTGGATTTTCCATTGTTCCTTTTCGTTTTATCGCGGATAAAGAACATTCCTGGTTACTGCACAGTTCATGGCAAACAGGGAAACGATGGCTCCAAAGTGTGGCAGTGATGAGGGAGGGAAACAGCATCGTCTGGGAGCAACCCACAGCCTCATCCTTGTCTTCTCCTCCCCTGCATTACCCGTTCCAGGATCTATGAGCTGTACATGTAGTCAAAGACAGATGATTTAGGAATCTCACAGAGGTCGGAGGGATAGTGGGTCCCACCCTCAAGGTGCAGAAAACACACTTGGTTCATAAATGCTCACAGTCAAAAGGAATGGCAGAGATCAGGGGTTCTGTGAAGGATCAGAAAGTGTTATTAGTAAATTACACACTTGGTGTGGAATTTGCTATGTTGTCCCAGACCTCCTGTATGAGCACATGTCAGAGGGTGTTGGATTAAGGGGCTTGGTGAATGGGATGACAGAAGTTAAAGGAGAAAAGATGAATTAATGAGGGAAAGAGAGAAAGAAAGCAGGAAAGAGAAGGAAAAGGATGGAAAAGTGAGAACCAGAGAAAAAACAAACACCTGGTACCAGCATAAAACCGTTTGATGGGATGTCAGTCCTGGTTTCAGCATCCACCCAGCTGTGACAGTCCAGTCCATTGGATGTCCAAGGTCTTGAGGACAATGCCCAGACTGAGGGGGTATGTTTCTGTGGGTAGGTTTCTCTGTCCCAAAGACAGGTGTCAATTTAAATGAGTTCTCATGCAATCTGTTTTTTCAGACCTTTTTGGAAATGTGTCGGAGGCTTCGGGGGTTTTTGATGGCCTTGATCCACCCCTACAGTCCATGACCACTTTGTGGCCTCACTCTTGTGAGGCTTGTGCTGTGCTTTCTCCAGGGACTACAACAAGGATGTTTGTCCCAGAACCAAGCTGCTGATCTCTCTATGGCCCCTTCTCCAGCCACATCCTGCTTTTCCTCACAGCATCTTGAGGAAATCCTGAAGGCACAGCTGGGCTCAAAACAACAGCTCAGACGCACAGCAACCCATAGACCTTGTGGGGTTGGCCCCATGCTCTTCCTGCCTGCAGTTCATGGCAGAGACACCATCTCTGTCACTGGGTGCTGGTCTAGAATTGT